ACGTAGGAGGGGACGTTCTCGCAACCTTGCGCAACGTTCCGTAAAAGTTCTCTAAAGGTGACGAAAGTCCCGAACCTTTACAGAACATTAGGGACGTTGCTAAAACGTTCTCTTTTGGTTATGAAAGTGCTGGTGCCCAATGTTCTTTATATGACTTTAGGGGGACGTTCCATTTTGGTTATTTTTTGGTCACATGAGAACGTTACAAAGAGGACATTTGGGACGTTAACAGAACGTTCTCATATGGTCCTCTTTTAGTCATATAATAACGTTCCGCATATGACTTTAGGAGGACGTTCCATTTTGGTTATTTTTTGGTCACATAAGAACGTTACAAAGAGGACATTTGGGACGTTAACAGAACGTTCTCACATGGTCCTCTTTTAGACGTTCTATATTGGTTATTCTATGGTCAAATAGCAACGTTACAAAGATGATATTTGGGACGTTAACAAAATGTTCTCACATGGTCCTCTTTTAATCATATAATAACGTTCCCAATGTGACTTTAGGAGGACGTACTGTATTATTCTATGGTCAAATAGCAACGTTACAAAGATGACATTTGGGACGTTAACAAAATGTTCTCACATGGTCCTCTTTTAATCATATAATAACGTTCCCAATGTGACTTTAGGAGGACGTACTGTATTATTCTATGGTCAAATAGCAACGTTACAAAGATGACATTTGGGACGTTAACAGAACGTTCCCATATGGTCCTCTTTTAGTCATATAATAATGTTCCGAATAAGACTTTAGGAGGATGTTCTATATTGGTTATTCTATTGTCAAATAGCAACGTTACAAAGATGACATTTGGGACGTTAACAAAACATTCTCACATGGTCCTCTTTTAGTCATATAATAACGTTCCCAATATGACTTTAGGAGGATGTTCTATATTGGTTAATCTATTGTCACATAACAACGTTACAAAGAGGACATTTGGGACGTTAACAGAACGTTCCCATATGGTCCTCTTTTACTCATATTATAACGTTCCAGATATGACTTTAGGAGGACATACTGTATTATTCTATAGTCACATAGCAACGTTACAAAGAGGACATTTGGGACATTAACAGAACATTCCCAAATGGTCCTCTTTTAGTCATATAATAATGTTCCCAATATGACTTTAGGAGGACGTTCTATATTGGTTATTCTATGGTCACATAGCAACATAACAAAGAGGACATTTGGGACGTTAACAGAACGTTCCCATATGGTCCTCTTTTAGTAAATAATAATGTTCGAGATATGACTTTAGGAGGACGTTCTGTATTAGTTATTCTATGGTCACATACAGTAGCAACTTTAAAAAGAGGACGTTTGGGACGTTAAGAGAATGTTCCCATATGGTCCTCTTATATAGTCATATAATAACGTTCCCAATATGACTTTAGGAGGACGTTCTATATTGTTTATTTTCTATGGTCACATAGCAACGTTACAAAGAGGACTCTCTTTGTAACATTGTAAAAAGACAACATTTTTACAGTTGTCTTTTAATTTTGTGCCAGTTTTGTCTTTTCTTTGATTCGCAACAAACACCGTACTGCAGTAAATGCAATGTTTTCATACTGTGCCCTTTTCTGTGCTTTCCAGACCCTGCCATGTACCCTGCCCTCTTCATACAGGCTGTCATGATGTCATCTCAGAAGGTAGGCTCATCTTGCAAAAAGAGTTTTCAAATTAACAGCAGCACATTGCTGACAGGCCAGAAAAAGGGATGAATGTCACGTTATAATGTGATACATTACCAGTTAAAAGTTTTTGAACAGTACGATTTGTAAAGTTTCTTAAAGACGTGTCTTCTGCTCACCAAGCCTGTATTTATTTGATCCAAAGTGCAGCAAAAACAGTAACATTTTGAAATATTTTTACTATTTAGAATAGGTAAATGTTTTCTATTTGAATATATTTTAAAATGTAATTTATTCCTGTGATTTCAAAGCTGAATTTTTTGCATCATTACTCCAGTCACATGACCCTTCAGAAATCATTCTAATATTCTCATTTGCTGCTCAAAACTTATTTATTCAGCTGAGTAGATTTTTTCAGGTTTCTTTGATGAATAGAAAGTTCAGACGAACAGCATTTATCTGAAATATATATCCTTTGTAACCAGAGGTGGACAGTAACTAAGTACATTTACTTGAGTATTGTACTTAAGTACACTTTTTGAGTATCTGTACTTTACTTGAGTATTATTTTTTCTGGAAACTTATGACTTTAACTTCACTACATTTGAAAGACAAATATTGTACTTTTCACTCCACTACATTTCTATCAAGATCCTCGAAGTAGATAGTCGTTAGCAGCTTTAAAAGTCAGTGGGTGATTTTTTTTCTTCTCTAAAACGTGACTTACTTTTTTTTCAGTAATCACTCTTGGGGCTACATGAAGTGATTTCCCAGCATTTTTTGAGCACTGACCAGTTCCAAATGTGATATTTATTTACAACAATTCAATAATAAGAAGTTAATATTGTGGTTTATATTAGACACAATATTGTCTGATTTTGCTAAATTGTGTAAGTGAAAATATTACCTATAAAGCCACAGAAGAACTGTTGTGCATCTCCTAATAAAACACAAAAGGTATTTGACTGAAGCATCACTGCACAGACTGTTCTGTGTGTGACATCAAAGTACCACGAAAGCGATTAAACAGCATTTTTTAAAATGTTTGTTTTGATGTCAAAGTCTTGCTTTTTTGTTAAAGCAGTGTTGCTGTTGTAAAGTTGTACAGCTACAGCTGTGTTGCTGGGATTTAAAGCAGGTTTGATTTTTTTTTCTTCCTTATCAGTCTGTATTTACAGCAATTTCACTGTCCACTCTGTTCAAATGTGGATGAACGGTTACACATAGATGTGTCCAGAGCTGTGTGAGATCACTACCATCTTGCTTTTGTGGGGATGGGTAGGGATGTTAAATAATAATTTTTTTGTTTTGTTTTGTTTTTTTCCCAATAGGTTTTTAACGTTCTAAAATATCTTTATTCCAAAGATACTACAAGCTAGTCAGTCTATTCAGTAGGTGTAATGTATTGTAAGTTGCTTCAGAGGTATTGCAAGTATTACATACAACAATAATAAAACAGTGCATTGACAAAGGAAATTTACTTTTGGTACGACAAGCCTTTAAGTCAACTTTTTTATTAGCATGTTTACTACAGTTACATTTGACAGTATGGCTCTGTTCCAAGTTCCCTATCCTTTTCATGAGCTCCATGAAAGCCAGGACAGGGAAACAGCAGTCGCTTCAGGGGCAACCCTCCTATTTTAAGAATAGGAGAATAGCACAAAAAAAACCAACAACCCCAGAACAGAGCATGCAACAATGACAACAGAATGACATTGTTTAAGTTAAGCACAGTTAAAGGAGGAGATGGGGAGCAGGTGGGTTGCAAGCAGCGTAATAGAGGAAGCAGCAAAGCAAGCAGTCAGAAGCCGTGTTTAAGTAAGGCGCCCTGTTTGAGATTTGCCAATTGCGAGCTTAGGAGTCGGATCAGCTGATAGGGGCCGGGTTTGAATTTCGCCAGTCAGCTGATAGCGGAGCTTGACTACGAGGCCTGCCTGAACTAACGCAGGATGCTTGATTTCAGTCAGGATCTCTTAAGTCAAAAAGAAAACCATAGACAAGCCTTTAAGTCAACTTTTTTATTAGCATGTTTATTAAAGTTACATTTGGCAGTATGACTCTGTTCCAAGTTCCCTGTCCTTTTCATGAGCTCCATGAAAGCCGGGACAGGGAAACAGCAGTCGCTTCAGGGGCAACCCTCCTATTTTAAGAATAGGAGAATAGCACAAAAAAAAAAAAACAGACCATACCAGGCAATCCTCCATGGCTCTTCTTGCTAAAGAAGAGCCAGCAGAGGAACCAAATGAGCATTGCCGGAAGCCAAATTCTTTATTTTTATAAATTTTTATTTTTTGTTTGTATTTATTTATTTTATTTATTTATTTATTTTATTTATTTTTTATTTGCTTTAAAATAGCCAATTAACTACATGAAGTCAGCATAAGAAATGAAGATGGAGTAATAAATATTTATAAAAGTAAACACACCCAACAGTTACTGAAGCCATACATTTATTTTAAACCCTTATTAGGGAGCTGCACTCATAGCTTTTTGAGCCTCAAGTATGGCTCGAGCGTCGGGTCGGATGTAACGTTCATAAGCAATTGACGACCATCGCCCCATGGCCTTCAAGGTAGAGATAGGAGTGAAGGAAGATGCAGTTGTCGCAGCCCCTATGCACAGAGAATGAGCTGTGTAGCGTTCTGGGGGAAGACCACAGTATTGGCAGAGAAGGCGGAGACGGGAGGCAAACCAGGCTCTGGACATAGGCTTTTCCTCCTCTGTGGAAAACAATGGGTCCTGCGGACCAGCTTGTGGACGGCTTCTCAAGTAGGCCAACATGGAAGATAGAGGACAAAAAACTGAGTTAGATTCAGAAATGAAAATTACTGTGCCTTCCTTGTTTTTATCGGTTTTAGAATGCTTGAGATAAACGGTGAAGTAGTGAGAATAAATGGTTACATCAGAAATTGTGAGGTCTTGTGATGGATTAAAAATATCAGTGCGTGTGGTAAATTCGCCACCTCTGAGAAAACCATAGAAAACTGTGAGCAAAGCAGACTCGAGCATTAAATCAGTATAAGACCCAAAGCATCCTGCTCTTAAACGTGATATTAACTTTAGCAAAAGTGGGAGCGTAAAGGGGAGACGTTGATTGTTGCCTTTTCTTTTTTGAGGCAATTAAGCAGGAGACGAATCGATGGATTTCCTAGTAAGCTGATGGTAGATGGATCCAAGCAGCGCAGGTGGAATTGGATGCCGGTGACCATACTTTTGATGCTTGAAGGCTGCATTTTTCTTGATTCATAACAGTGGACTATAAAAGCACTAACATATGAAACATTAACCGGTAGTACAGCCACGGAGAATGTAGCACAGAAAGAACTGAAGTGAGACCAAGCAGAGTCGTACATTTTTAATGTAGTTTTAGCCAGACCATTAGGCATGTAGTGCAGTTGTCGCAGCCCCTATGCGCAGAGAATGAGCTGTGTAGCGTTCTGGGGGAAGACCACTGTATTGGCAGAGAAGGCGGAGACGGGAGGCAAACCAGGCTCTGGACATAGGCTTTTCCTCCTCTGTGGAAAACAATGGGTCCTGCGGACCAGCTTGTGGACGGCTTCTCAAGTAGGCCAACATGGAAGATAGAGGACAAAAAACTGAGTTAGATTCAGAAATGAAAATTACTGTGCCTTCTTTGTTTTTATCAGTTTTAGAATGCTTGAGATAAACGGTGAAGTAGTGAGAATAAATGGTTACATCAGAAATTGTGAGGTCTTGTGATGGATTAAAAATATCAGTGCGTGTGGTAAATTTGCCACCTCTGAGAAAACCATAGAAAGCTGTGAGCAAAGCAGACTCTAGCATTAAATCAGTATAAGACTCAAAGCATCCTGCTCTTAAACGTGATATTAACTTTAGCAAAAGTGGGAGCATGAAGGGGAGACGTTGATCGTTGCCTTGAGTTTTTTTCTTTTTTGAGGCCATTAAGCAGGAGACGAATCGATGGATTTTCTAGTAAGCTGATGGTAGATGGATCCAAGCAGCGCAGGTGGAATTGGATGCCGGTGACCATACTTTTGATGCTTGAAGGCTGCATTTTTCTTGATTCATAACAGTGGACTATAAAAGCACTAACATATGAAACATTAACCGGTAGTACAGCCACGGAGAATGTAGCACAGAAAGAACTGAAGTGAGACCAAGCAGAGTCGTACATTTTTAATGTAGTTTTAGCCAGACCATTAGGCATGTAGTGAGCTGCAGAGTGCAAATATGTTTGAAAGGTCATGTCTAGTCTAGTACGGTTTGGCTGAAAGAGGGACAGACCAGGCTGGATGGTGCTGCCTCCGGGCACCTGCGCCACTCACCGGTCTCGAGTCCCACGGAGGAGCTCCGGAAGGATAAAAGGAGGAGTGACGACAGTGTTGGACGAGAGAGGACCAGGCCTGGATTTTATTTTGTGTTTTGTGTGCGGCAGTCGTCTGCGAGGGGCTGCCGCTTTGCTTTCGTTTTGTGTTTGTTTATTTTCTTAAAGTTTTAAATGTTCGCTGGTTCCCGCCTCCTTCTTGCCGTAACTACGAACGTTTGTTACAATGGTATTAACAGGTACAGATAGCAGTTCATTTGGCCATACACTAGCAAACCACTGACCATTAAACACCCCCCCAAAACCAACGGAAGGCGCAGCATCTGTGTGCAATTTAAGGGTTGCAGATGACTCCAACTCATCATAATAGAAAAACAAGATACCGTTCCAGTTGTTGAGGAGCAAAAACCAGAATCTGAGATCTGATCTGCAACCTTCATCTAGGCTAACTATATCATTAAGGTCTTTAACTGTCTTTGAGAGGTCAAGGAGCCTGGCTATGAAAGCCCTCCCTGTGGAATTATTCGCATCGCGAAATTAAGATGGCCTAGTAAAGAGAGCAATTCTCTTTTAGAAAAAGATGCAGATTTTTGAACATTTCTCATGACTTCTCTAATGCGATTTAATTTCCCTGAGGGCAGGGAGGCTTGCATTAGGTTAGAATCTAATGTGATGCCTAATAATTCAGTGGTTTTAAGGGGACCTTGTGTTTTCTCCTCAGAAAGAGGAACACCCAAATTGTTGAAGGTGCACTTTAGCGCTGAAATGCAATGGTCCGGCTTTATATGAGGGTAGTCGACTAGCAAAAATTCATCTAAGAGATGACGTACGAATGGCAGTTTGCAGTTATTGAGAAGAATCCAACATAGTGCCTCTGATAGTGTATCAAATATTTTTGGACTACTGCGACAGCCGAAGGTGAGCCTAACCGAAAAATACAACTTATCTCTCCATTTAACACCAAATAAATGCCATTGTGATGGATGTAAAGGCATGACTTTAAAAGCATCTCATATATCTGCTTTTGTGAGCCATGCACCCCGACCTGCTTTTTTATGAACTTGATTCCATCCTCAATGGTAGCGTAGAACAGAGAAAAAGGAGAAGAATGGAAAGCCATTGGACACGGGAACTGCACTTCCCATTGTCCTCCGCGGGAATGTCGCGGAAATGACGTCATCAACCTGCTGCTCGGCTCCAGGTAGTCACACTGTGGTTGACGCGGTGTTCGAAGAAGCCAGCCCGGAGAAGAGGAGATTTCCCGAAATCCTGGATGCTGAGCCGGACTCCAAAGCTTGGATTCTAGAGTTCATGTCAGAGATCGAAGACTGGATACTTGACAATGTTGACAACACTGGATCGTTGTTTTGGATCATGGAGCGGCTTGATCGGGCTGAGCTGGAAGGACCACATGCCTGTTTGGGTGCACCAGTGGCTGAAGAGGAAGCCGGCTCGAGGTTTTTCCTTTTCTGCATATTTTCCTTGCCGGAGGTTGGAGGTGGAGAGTGGGGAGCTGGGACATCAATACTTTCACAAAGCAAGGTAAACATTTCCTCATGAGTAGCTCCGGTCGGAACCAGAATATGGCTCTTAAACAGAACTTCCAATATCTTAGGCAGAGGCCAGTCGCTAATGCCGGGAGGACAAGATGATTTACTTGACAAACGCGTGCTCCGACGAACAGAAACATTGTTCTCGTCACGAATAGCTTCCTCTGTTTGGCTTTGATGTTGTTGAGATTCTTCGATTGATTCAACCCACGGGTCTTCGTCATTAGCGGCAGAAGGCATGATAACCAGTTGGGTGAATAACATCAAAAACAAGCGTAATTTCATGGTACGGCAACATACATGAATGTCTTGCAAGCAGCGTAATAGAGGAAGCAGCAAAGCAAGCAGACAGAAGCCGTGTTTAAGTAAGGCGCCCTGTTTGAGATTTGCAAATTGCGAGCTTAGGAGTCGGATCAGCTGATAGGGGCCGGGTTTGGATTTCGCCAGTCAGCTGATAGCGGAGCTTGACTACGAGGCCTGCCTGAACTAACGCAGGATGCTTGATTTGAGCCACAGAAAGACAAACGTTTTGCTGAAACAAATGCACGATAAACAATCTTCAAGCCTAGGATGAACTCATTATGTACATTAACAATAATTTGGGACAAATATAATGCATTTTAATGGAAAATGATGTGAGTGGCGCTGCAGGATTATGAACAGCACCTGGAGTCGCAGCTGGGATCCGCGGACAGTTGCCGATGGCACCGCCGGTGTGCGTGCACTCATAGAAAACAATGTGTGCGAAGAAAGTTCAGAAGAACAGCATTTATCGGAAATAGAAATCTTTTGTAACATTATAAATGTCTTTATCATCACTTTTTATCAATTTGAAGCATCTTCTATATTTCTATAATTTAAAAAAAAATAAAATAAATAAA